GATCGGCTGTTGATTGCGGTTGGCGTGCGTGCGTGGAGGCATGCTAGCTGTATGCCGGTATGTAGCTGTGTACCGGGTCAAAGGTTATCTCGCCTATTCTGTCTTGCAAATAGTTGTTGCTACTACGTACGATGGGAGCTTTAATCTTAAGACACAAACTTACGCGCCATCTCGTGGCAACTTTCATAACCACCCCAACGAACATTCCTTAGAGAATGTTCCTGATACCATCCCTGTGCCTTCCACTGTTTCGGCGCGTATGTGAACACATTTGGGACTAACATGGTTTACTAGAATCCCACCACTCCACCACAGAGTCACCGCAGTAGACACCAGATGAGCGCTGTCGCTCCGCGGCACTTGTTATTTCTCCATTTTTACCCTGTAAAAACACTATTTCGGGAGCATTTTGCATGCAGGAGGGGGAATCTTGGGGGGGAGGCAAAATTGTATATATGCCACCCTTTTTTAATACTGGGGGGAGCGCTCCCTGCCCCCCCAGGATCGGCGCCCCTGGCTGTCACCATTAGCTTCACAAAACCACAATGTATTGCAAGACACATTTAATTATATTCACAATATTATTGCTAGATTAACCTGTGTAACCCTTTGGTCCCACTGCAAGGCTATATGACCTACAGTACTGAGAAACAGCAATGAATCTTTGCAGCATGACAGGCTAAGCTATAGCTCAAAATACAATAGAAAAATATTCTAGCCAGCAAGATAAACATCCTGACTTTTGTCTGGCACCCTCAAATCAAACTCATGTACATGTCTAGTAGACTAGTGAACGGTAACCACAACAACAGTGGCCAATGCATGATTCATGTATACCTGTCCCTGCGACTTGAATTTCTGATTTCATACTAATTAGCAAATTTGAAAAGGGGAGTGCAGAGTCTGAATTCTTTCTTCCAAACAATTGCTGCTTGTGCTTGCTTCACCACCATTCAAGGTTTTTCAGACACGTTTATACATTTGACAATAACATTGTGTCCACTTAGACAATTTTTTTTGAAAAGTTGGACTTTCGTCAAGTTTAACCTTCAATGGCAAAGTAAAAGCACGCTTTTTCCAAAGTAAGCAGCGGTTGCTTATGTCGTTATACTTTGACAGGCTTTTGTTTTGTAGTTACGGCAATTGGCTTGGCTATGAAACGAGGAACATGCGAAGCGAATATGAAAAATTGGCTTATGGTTCACGACTGACCCATTTCTGTGATAATACAATACAAATTTATATAAATAACTAACTACACACGTTTTATTTACCTAAATGTAAGCTATTAAGATACTAGTCTGCACGTGGCTGTGAAGTCTGTATATTTGTGTGAACAAAATGTAGTTTTAACAAAGTTATTTTTGCAGTGGGATATATGTTGTCAGCAAAACAGCAGCTGCAGGTGATGTTGCAGTGTGCTTCAATGCTTCTAATAGAAGCGTTTGTAAGGCATCCAGTACCTAGTCGGGGCCAATTGTAATAGTTTAAACTTTTATAGTTGTAAATATCTTAGTCTTGTTATATATACTATATTGGGGATATAGGTGAATACCCCCTGCCCCTCAATATTTTATTTATTTCATGTTTTGTATTTGTGCTGTACAGTTGTTTTTATCAAGCAACTGTGGTGATGTTTATAGGGTGCATGTGTATACAAAATAATGTGAATCAGAAACTCTACCCTTGGTTACAGATATAGTTGAACGTCATAAAATTAGAAAAAGTCTAGATTGTGAATGCTGTTACCTTACGACTGTTGTATAAAATCAGTCCTCACATAGCCTAAACGCCTGCGAAAACTATTCTCTGTCAATAACAGTGAAAATCAACTTGACTTATTTCAATATCCTATACGATAGACTGCACCCAGAATACTCAAAATGAAGTGTAGCAATCACCGACTGTATTCGTATTGAAAAATTAAACTGGGTCGCTGTATAACCTGTAACTTGTTCAGCATCTCAGATAAATATCATCTTTGCCTTTATCAAAATGCACGCATGCTTCGGCACGGTCACAGATGCTTGCCTCACTCGTACATGAACTTAGGGATGCATTCCTGTCTCGAATAAACACACATACACACCGCTATGATTCTTCTTTTTTTACTTTAAGGAATATATACTGGAAGAAGGGTTATATGTAGGATGTAACCTGGCAGGGAGCATAAGTGTGTCTACCCGACCAGCATGTCGCTGTTCAAGGTGCGAGATTGGTGGTCGACGACGGCGGGAGGGGAAGAAGAGTTCGACCAGGGCTGCATGTGTATAGCAAACATCGACAACGATCAGCATGTATCAGGTGAATTGCTTGTGAGCAAAAAAAATCAATAACCCACGAATAATGTTCTCGACATCCGCGTGCTTGTTTACGTGACTTTTGCTTGTGCCAAAAAAATCAATAACCCACGAATAATGTTCTCGGCAGACGTCGTAGTGCTTGTTTACGCGGCGCGGTTTGTCGGAGCAGAGTAACTCCCTTTAGCTCTACGATGTTCTCTTAGTAAACAAGTAAATATTGTGTATCGCCTGTATTTGTGAAAGAACCACATTTCGTTAAATATCACATGTTCCCCCGAGGAATGACAGATAATGATGGATAGATGTGCGTCGGTTGCAGGTGTACAATTATTGGTGTGTCTACGAACGTTATTTGTGTGTAAAGTTTGGGTATTTTTTATTGCATTGTCAGACAAGATCATCACGGGAAGTTTCGCGGGCATCCTGCGCATATATAGTCCAAAACCTGAGTGGAGAGAGGGTGGCACGAGTGGAGCAATGCCGGATGACCTGCTCATCGAGCAGCAGTTAGGCTCTCACATCATTCAGGTGTTGGCTGGAAAATTTGTCAGGTACGCAGAATGTCTACTTTTGGAAGATTTAGCAAATACACGTTAGTTTTGCGATTTTGAGTTGAACCCGACTTCAGATATTATCACAGTTTGTCACATACGTTTTGTAGAATAATAGCAAAGGCAAACAGGTTAGAGTAATTAATAGCTAGTAGACCTGGCCTTAAGTGAAGGTAATTTGGCAATAACTTACCATACCACCTAATTATGTGTACAGCATACAGAGGCATATGATTGCTCCGTGACATTAGCTAAATTATGGTAATAAATAATAAAACACACGTCTCGTTGCTACATTGCAGTGTGAATGAAAAATCCCACTTGGCAGTGCTTCAATCAAGGAAAGTGTCCGTGTATGAAATCATAGGTACACTAATTTTATATATCTGCTCGGAATAATAAGGGCAATTTGCAATAGTGTGTTATTGTGGTAGCCATTCGGTAATAACCACCTTGTGTTTGAATTAAAGAACAAGGTTTTTGCCTGATACTTTATTCGAATGATTCCCTGCTACAGTAAAAGTAATGTCACTTCTGTGTAATCCTTTGCTAGTTTTTAATAACGTCTACGTGTTAAATGAGATTCAATTTGATATTCTCTAATGTTGCAAGTGGTTCTACAGCTAACAACCACCAATGGTCATTAATATGTTCCTGTGCAATTCGATTCTTGTTCTATAATGCAGTGACAGAGGGAGCCGTGGAACATGGTAACCAATACCAGTTGAAGCTGATTTATGAGCATTCATTGCAAAGAACTGCATTCTGCATGTGTCGTGGTCCATTTGGAGGTGTATCAGGTACAGAATTTACCCACGGTGTTATATATGGCTGTATTGCATAAATTTGTGTGTTAGTGTGATTGCTAAAATGTACGCGTTAGTGCGGTGTGGTACAGTGGTGTTAATGCATTGATTCATTATAATTTCAACATCATTTGGTGTTTGAGTTTGTTTATGGTTATTATTAATAATAGTATTATGGTTATATTTGTATATATTATTATTATTATTATTATTATTATTATTATAGTTATGTGTATATAAAGAGCATATATCAGCTTCATAGTGCTATTTAGTTTCCAATTACTAGATGACTTGTTGTAAAAATATGCGTGTTTGTCAATACATGTTAGGCTGAATTAGCTCAGGAATTGAAACTGCACTTGAATGAACACCTTGTCTCTTTATAGTCCCACATTGGCCATCCCACAGGCAAAGACTTCCTGTGCATTCTAATCCTTTTTTGCTGCTTCCTAAGGCAAACACTCTGTGCATTCTAATCATTTGTTCTTGCAACCCACAGTTAAAGTCATCATGTCTGTTCTTGTCCTGTGTTTCCCATCCTTAAGGCAAAAGCTTCGTGAGCGTTCTAATCCTTTGTTCTTGCAACCCACAGTTAAAGTCATCATGTCTGTTCTTGTCCTGTGTTTCCCATCCTTAAGGCAAAAGCTTCGTGAGCGTTCTAATCCTTTGTTCTTGCAACCCACAGTTAAAGTCATCATGTCTGTTCTTGTCCTGTGTTTCCCATCCTTAAGGCAAAAGCTTCGTGAGCGTTCTAATCCTTTGTTCTTGCAACCCACAGTTAAAGTCATCATGTCTGTTCTTGTCCTGTGTTTCCCATCCTTAAGGCAAAAGCTTCGTGAGCGTTCTAATCCTTTGTTCTTGCAACCCACAGTTAAAGTCATCATGTCTGTTCTTGTCCTGTGTTTCCCATCCTTAAGGCAAAAGCTTCGTGAGCGTTCTAATCCTTTGTTCTTGCAACCCACAGTTAAAGTCATCATGTCTG